GTTTCTCTTTTGCTGCGACTGACGAGGCTCTGTGGTTCGGTGATTGGTTTGTGTTTGGTCCAGGCGTCTTTGATGGTGTGGGAGTTGGTGTCCTCGTTCTCTCGGTTGGGGTGGATCGTTCTAAGGCTAGATTTGAGGTTCGAGTTCGGCTGCTTGTATAGGCGGTTTCGCAGTTTAGGTAGCAGTGCCTGGGACCTGGATTTTCCTTGGATAGATTGTTCTCTGTGGGTCGAACTCGTTAGCCAGATGTGGAAGGGCTTGATTGTGTCTTTTAGTTTCCTTTTTCTTTCTGTTTTTGTTCGTAGTGCTGTTTTGGTTGGGTTTTTTGCTCTGTGTGTTTGTTCGTTTTCGTTTCGGAGATGATTACAGGCTAGGCATTGTGCAGTGGCTCTGTTTTTCATTTTTCTTTATTTTCCGTTTGTGGAGTTCTCTAGGCCGCTAGTGCGTGTCCTCTTAGTTTTTTTTTCCTGTTTGTTTTTAGGTGTATTTTTGGTTTGGGTTGTTGGCCCCTGTCTCAATACCCTGTTGGGGTCTTAAGATTACCCTGTTGGGGTCTTGTAATTTGTTTCTTTTACACTTTTGTGCCCTTCTATATTACCTCTGTCGTTCTGGCAAAAAAAAAAAATATAAAAAATACAACACACTAATTAAGTTTTTTTTTTTTTCTTGGCAATATTAACCCTATTTAATGGATGTTATGGAAAATGAAGGAGATGGAATATGAAGAGACATTGTGTATTAGATGGAGGGTTAAATTAGAAAAATATGAACAAAATATCTAAAACGACATTTATTTTATAAATGATCAATTTAGCCAAAGTGACAAATAGTAAAAATAGGAGGGAGTATATATTATTATATATTTTAGTATGACACATGTTACTTGTGCGACTTATACGTGTTATATTATAATAAATTTTCTACCTTATAACATATAACTACATTAAACATAAATAGATTAATTGATAAATATTTTTATTTTCTAAATAATTTTATTATTATTATAAATATTAAATATAATTTATTTATTTATATATACAATATGGATGTCAAATCGAAGCTCATCAAAAGATGATTAATTTGATAAATTATATATGTAAAATTGATAAAAAATACAAAAGTTATCAACTTTTAAAATATATATGCAATTCAATGGTTATAATAGGAAATAATATTAAAATACAATTAATACAAATATTAATTTATATCTAAGTCTAACTCCAAAGTATGATTTTTTGCCAAATAAAATCCCGAAACATGAGAATTTACCACGTAGGCTCAACGCATTTTGAAATTATATATAGAGGGGATGTGTTGTACACGAGTTCTATACTTTTTTTTT